CACACACACACACACACACACACACAGACACACCACCTCATGTGAGTATGTGTGCATTTACATAATATACACAAACACATTATTTTCTCCAAGTATCTTAGGAAAATATGTGGTTTTGAAATATTCTGAAATATGTAAAGGCAACATAAAAATGATACTTAGTATAAGTCTAGAAGGAAACAAAACCTTCAATGTCATGTTGTGTAACATTGTAAATGCACCATACCAAAAGCGTCTCCTGATTTCATACTGGGAGTATGCGGTACCCCACCCATGAAGTGTGCAGGCAGAGAAGAGCTGTCACTGAGGATAACGATGGCATTTTGTAGTGAAGATCTGATGAGTTTCAGTTGTGTAGAGTGGTTTGCTTTAGGATAAACATCACTGGGCTACACTAGCAAGCTACCTGAAGCTACACATGACCAAAAAGAGTGGCCCTAAGTTTGCAGAGAATGAAGTTTTCTAACTGTGATTTTTAGTGATCTAATGGGTATACGGCAGAAGGAGCTTCCAGGCACATGTTCTGGCAGATTAACCTGTAACTGTCAGTGGTGATTGCCTCTGGGGGCTTCACCACCACAAGGAAACACTGACACAAAGGATGGCATGCGGCATCAGAACGTCAAGGGCTGTTGCTATTTGGATAAGCAGCTCTTACAGAGAGAAGCAAGTAACCAGCAGACACTTATGTGCACTACCCTAAAGTCCAAATAACGATCTGAGGACTAATGAGCACTTTTAAACAGTTAAGAAGAGGAGCTGCACAATTACAAAAGGGGAATACAAGTTGCTGAAAAATGAACTGGGTGGACTTTTCATGGAAATCAACATTACTTCGAAATCCTGGCTTCTCGGTAGGAAAGCAGAGCAATAGTGCTGCCTCACTCAAGGGCTGCAGTTTAGTTCAGGTTGAGAGACAACAATAATAGGAGTAGGAGTAGAAGGAGTGGATCCCAGTTAGCTACCTCACTTAGCTTTTACTCTACTCACTAAATTCTTATAATTCTTCCTGCCACAGCTATGTTATGCCATTATGAAATTACTTCTAAAGAAGAATAAGTTTTCTTTTAGACTATGCCATATTATCATTGGATGTAATGAGACAGAAAAGAATCCTAAAAAAGAGTAACCTAGAAAATGTCTTTGTTTTTCCCACCTGTAATTGGACCATGTTAGCAGCTACAAATAAGCACCTAATATGTGACTGGCACCTTCAAGTCAATTACCACCCCGTATATCCATTAGTTCTCAGGACAATCCTAGGGAGGCATTATCATTTACATTTTTACAGCTAAGGAAGCCAAGGCTCAGAGGCTTAAGTAATAAACTAAGAATGACACAAGACAGTAAGTGGAAAGTTAGGATTCAGACAGGTGTATCACCCATTAGCGTTCTTTGGTTACAAAGAAAAGAAACCAACTCTGGTTAACTTAAGCACAAATAGAATTTACTAAAATACAACAGTAATAAATTTTTTAAAAAAGGATTTAGTGAAAGTGTAAGAATTTACTGGAAGGATAAGAATCAAAGGAAAAGGTGAAATGATGAGCCTCAGAAAGGAGCTAGGACAGTGCCAAGGATCCAGAAAGGGAGGAGTAAGGGGCACACTATTGCATTTCTTCCTGTCAGGATGAATCAGTTCCAAGCACTTCTTCCCCCGAGTTACTCTGTTTGAGATTCAAATTCTCTGAGGAGAGAGTCTGACTGGCCTGGCTCGGGTCTTGTGCCTGACCCTTGGCTGGGCAGGAGAGGGCACCTGACTGTCCCAAGAGGACTGCCCGCTGGGGGTCTGGAAAGCAGTCCCCAGAGGAAAGTGGGGAGGGAAACTGGAAGAAGAAATGGATGCTGGACAGACACCTACCGGGCATCCCACTCACCCAGCACTGACAGATGTCTAAGCTCTGTCCATCACTCTAACATTGCTATTCACTCCCTTGTGCCCTAATCTGAGGACTATAAAGAATGACTATAGTAAAGTAAGTGAAGGCTTATGAAACAAGATAAGGTCCTCAGCTGACATCCCTGCATATCCCCAAAAGATCTGATACCATGTCCGACACATCTTTGTACCCTCAACTCCTAAACAGTACCTGTGCATAATAAGCCCTTAATATTTGCTGAATGACTAAAACACACCTACTTTTCAATTGGGTCTAAAGTTATTTATGTCTTTATGCCTCCACATTTTTTATTCTTGCCATTCCTCAGTCTTTCTCCCTTCCTCCTTCATCCAAGGTACTCAATCCAGCTCATCTTTTCAAAGTCCCATTCATAGCAACAGAACATAGTTGGTAAAATCATGACTGCTGGAGTCAAATTGTGGAGTCTAGGAGCTTTTGAGTAAAAAACAGACTACCACTACCTAGCTTTGGGTAAGTTACTTAGTCTCACTAAATCCCAGTTCCTCATTTGTTAAATATTAATCCAACAAGTAATAAAATACTGAAATCAGGGAAGCAACTCTTTAAAAAATATATATACATTAAGTACAAAGTATATAAGAAGGATAATTATATCTAAAGATAACTTGCTGGCAGATTGTGATACTCTTACATTGGGATAAAAGTTGGGTTCTGCTTCACTATGAAACAGTATAGATAGAACTTAACAACAGTTCCTACTACGAGTACACAATATAAGAATTGAAGAGAAAAAAGTAGTTTCTGCAATCAGAAAAGGTTTTAATTATGGTTGTTATGGATCCTACTTACTTATTAATTGTATGCTCATAGAGTGCGATGTTACAATCATTTTCTTCATTCACATCTAAATATTCAACCAGACTCTCATGTAAGAAATCTTCAAAATTCCTGGGAAAACATTGGTGAAATGTACATTATTAAAAAGCACTTTACTGCAGTATGTTACATATAATATTGCAAGATACTGGCTTTCATTTAGGACCAAAGTACCTTTCTCTCCCAGAGAGTATCAATACATTGGGATACTTGAAACATGTTATTCCTGGATCATACAGTGATCACAAGTCACTGAAATAAAACGGTAAAACATCTGTGAGTCTTGGTCCCCACTTCTAAAAATACCTTTTAAAACTTTAGAATCCCCATGAGGGACCTATGGTGTCTACATCAACATATTCTTTTCTTACTTAACAGTGCATGAATTTACACCAACATTTCGTAATCTTCATGATGTAAACTGATAAATATTTTACAATGTCCAAGCAAGTTCACATACAGAAAAATAGGTTTTTAATAGGTTGATGTATTTGGTAGGGAAGAATTAAGAGACTAAAAATTAAAATGTACTTTTCTCAGAAGCTCAGATTAAACAATATTACTGCTGATTAACCATACGAATGAATAGTAAGGAGACTGAGAAGTTTTACTTTTGGCCTTTTACCTGTATCCCTGAGCCAGCTCTTCCATATGCTTATTCGTGACTGCAGGCTTCTGTTTCTTAACAATTATGTATGGTCTGGAATGGAAGAAAAGAAATTCAATGGGGGAATTAAGTCAGCAAGTAAGCTTACTATAGTGAAATGAGGGAAGCCATAGATAAAATCAAACTTATTTCTCGATTGCTTGATGACAAAAGGTATTTTTTGCATAGGGGCCTATTTCCTCTCTCTCTCCTCTCTCTCTCCCTCCCTCTCTCTCTCTCTCACACACACACACACACACACACACACACACAGACACACCACCTCATGTGAGTATGTGTGCATTTACATAATATACACAAACACATTATTTTCTCCAAGTATCTTAGGAAAATATGTGGTTTTGAAATATTCTGAAATATGTAAAGGCAACATAAAAATGATACTTAGTATAAGTCTAGAAGGAAACAAAACCTTCAATGTCATGTTGTGTAACATTGTAAATGCACCATACCAAAAGCGTCTCCTGATTTCATACTGGGAGTATGCGGTACCCCACCCATGAAGTGTGCAGGCAGAGAAGAGCTGTCACTGAGGATAACGATGGCATTTTGTAGTGAAGATCTGATGAGTTTCAGCTGTGTAGAGTGGTTTGCTTTAGGATAAACATCACTGGGCTACACTAGCAAGCTACCTGAAGCTACACATGACCAAAAAGAGTGGCCCTAAGTTTGCAGAGAATGAAGTTTTCTAACTGTGATTTTTAGTGATCTAATGGGTATACGGCAGAAGGAGCTTCCGGGCACATGTTCTGGCAGATTAACCTGTAACTGTCAGTGGTGATTTGCCTCTGGGGGCTTCACCACCACAAGGAAACACTGACACAAAGGATGGCATGCGGCATCAGAACGTCAAGGGCTGTTGCTATTTGGATAAGCAGCTCTTACAGAGAGAAGCAAGTAACCAGCAGACACTTATGTGCACTACCCTAAAGTCCAAATAACGATCTGAGGACTAATGAGCACTTTTAAACAGTTAAGAAGAGGAGCTGCACAATTACAAAAGGGGAATACAAGTTGCTGAAAAATGAACTGGGTGGACTTTTCATGGAAATCAACATTACTTCGAAATCCTGGCTTCTCGGTAGGAAAGCAGAGCAATAGTGCTGCCTCACTCAAGGGCTGCAGTTTAGTTCAGGTTGAGAGACAACAATAATAGGAGTAGGAGTAGAAGGAGTGGATCCCAGTTAGCTACCTCACTTAGCTTTTACTCTACTCACTAAATTCTTATAATTCTTCCTGCCACAGCTATGTTATGCCATTATGAAATTACTTCTAAAGAAGAATTAGTTTTCTTTTAGACTATGCCATATTATCATTGGATGTAATGAGACAGAAAAGAATCCTAAAAAAGAGTAACCTAGAAAATGTCTTTGTTTTTCCCACCTGTAATTGGACCATGTTAGCAGCTACAAATAAGCACCTAATATGTGACTGGCACCTTCAAGTCAATTACCACCCCGTATATCCATTAGTTCTCAGGACAATCCTAGGGAGGCATTATCATTTACATTTTTACAGCTAAGGAAGCCAAGGCTCAGAGGCTTAAGTAATAAACTAAGAATGACACAAGACAGTAAGTGGAAAGTTAGGATTCAGACAGGTGTATCACCCATTAGTGTTCTTCGGTTACAAAGAAAAGAAACCAACTCTGGTTAACTTAAGCACAAATAGAATTTACTAAAATACAACAGTAATAAATTTTTTAAAAAAGGATTTAGTGAAAGTGTAAGAATTTACTGGAAGGATAAGAATCAAAGGAAAAGGTGAAATGATGAGCCTCAGAAAGGAGCTAGGACAGTGCCAAGGATCCAGAAAGGGAGGAGTAAGGGGCACACTATTGCATTTCTTCCTGTCAGGATGAATCAGTTCCAAGCACTTCTTCCCCCGAGTTACTCTGTTTGAGATTCAAATTCTCTGAGGAGAGAGTCTGACTGGCCTGGCTCGGGTCTTGTGCCTGACCCTTGGCTGGGCAGGAGAGGGCACCTGACTGTCCCAAGAGGACTGCCCGCTGGGGGTCTGGAAAGCAGTCCCCAGAGGAAAGTGGGGAGGGAAACTGGAAGAAGAAATGGATGCTGGACAGACACCTACCGGGCATCCCACTCACCCAGCACTGACAGATGTCTAAGCTCTGTCCATCACTCTAACATTGCTATTCACTCCCTTGTGCCCTAATCTGAGGACTATAAAGAATGACTATAGTAAAGTAAGTGAAGGCTTATGAAACAAGATAAGGTCCTCAGCTGACATCCCTGCATATCCCCAAAAGATCTGATACCATGTCCGACACATCTTTGTACCCTCAACTCCTAAACAGTACCTGTGCATAATAAGCCCTTAATATTTGCTGAATGACTAAAACACACCTACTTTTCAATTGGGTCTAAAGTTATTTATGTCTTTATGCCTCCACATTTTTTATTCTTGCCATTCCTCAGTCTTTCTCCCTTCCTCCTTCATCCAAGGTACTCAATCCAGCTCATCTTTTCAAAGTCCCATTCATAGCAACAGAATATAGTTGGTAAAATCATGACTGCTGCAGTCAAATTGTGGAGTCTAGGAGCTTTTGAGTAAAAAACAGACTACCACTACCTAGCTTTGGGTAAGTTACTTAGTCTCACTAAATCCCAGTTCCTCATTTGTTAAATATTAATCCAACCTTATGGGGTTGAATATATTTAAAGCCATACACATTGCACATCTACTGAAATAATAAATTAACATGATTGGTTATCAGTAATTATTTCTGCCTTTGTCAGCAGACTGAGCTTCCTGAGGTCAGAGACTGACTCCCATGAATCTCTGGATCCTCCATAACCTATATGCTTACTCATGAGGTGTTTGCTAACTGAATTAAATTTAACTTAATAGCAAGAGAGTTGTTAAAGTAGACTCAAAAGTAAAAACAAGTCTATTTCTTTCAAAAGTAAACAGAGATTCTTAAAAACTCTTCTTAGCAACTTATATACCTGCACAGCCTTCCTCCATCAGAGGAAATATAGACACATCGATCTGTGAGATTTGTTGAGATGGAAACAAATTCATTGATATATCCTGCTCTTCGCATCAGTCGAAATGTGTTCACTAGCTTCTGATGGTCTCGAATGACACCTAGAATGTTACCTAAGCAAAAAGAAGAATATTTAAGACAAAAATGAAAGATAAATCTAATTGGATTTAAAATACCCACCCGATAAAAATGATAAGCAGCACTGAAAAGTCATTTGAAAATACTTTTTATTAACACCTGCAGCCAGTCTGCAAGGCTGTGGAGTGGCCAGCTCTTCCACATGTCAGCTGAGTAACACTGGAAAGGTCAGCCTCATTTTCCTCGTCAGTCAGCATCATGCTAGGGAAATGACATCAGGTCCAGACCTCCTGGGTTTGAACACTGGCTCTTATCACTTCCAAAGGGTCGATGTGAGGATTTAATGAGTTAGATCTTACACAAGCACGTAGAACTCTGCCTAGCACCGAGGAACTGCTGTTACTAAGGCACTTTTACTGTTATCCTCTCTGTGAAATGAGGAACATGGACCTTGCCCTGTAGGGTTAGCGTGAGGACTCAGCGAGGTACTGGGTGAAAATGCAAAGTGAGGGCTTGCTCAGAGTTCATGGCTGGGAAGCCCTGAACGTGGCAGGTGGTCAACAGCCCTGTTGCCCTTCTCACCGGTCCATGCAGTGAAGGATTAATGCCTCCCAGAGCTGGAGGATGGAGAGAAGAGAATGGGGTCATGTAGTCAGGATGAGCACACGGAGCATGCTGGGGAGGAGACAGTGAGGGGACAGGCACCTTCAACACCAAGTTACAAGTAGGAAAGACAAGGGGCATGTGCCACTGAGGTCAGAGGACTCTGATGGGTAGGAAAGGGGATGCTAAAGAAATAGCTGGAGCATGAGCCAAAGGAAAACGGCCCTCATGCTGCAGGCTATTCACAATCAATTATCAAGCTGCTGACTGTTAAGTCAACTAACTCTCAGGGCTGATTGATTATTTCTGCAGAATGCCTCACAAACTTAACTTGAACATAAAGATACTATGTTGAGCTTTATTCCACCATGGATATGCTGGAAGCTGCAAAAGGAGAGAGGCAGCCAGTCTGCAATGTGACCCTTTAGCTCTGATAGCTGTATTCACTCAGAACCTGGATGATCCAGCCAATGGGATAACTGTTTGTTACCATTTTTTTCTACCTTTAAATTAAGGTCAACTTGGGTCCAGAATTAAAGTATATTTATGCTTTAAATTCATGGATGAAAATGGATCCTCCTAACCCCAGACTGTTCAGGATCAATACATCTCCATAATATACTCACCATTGAGGAAGACGAGAAACACATTTGGGTAAGAGAGTTCTTCCCCACATAATAAATTCACATCTTCTACTCCCAGGTTGCTGGCTAACTTAACAATGGGTCCATCTTCCATGTCAGTAGTGATATGTGTCATAAGGGCCAAGTTTTTAACCAAACCACATGCCTACAAAACAAAAGACAGGCATTTTTAAGGATGAACATTCGAATACAGAATATTGAAAATATTTTTCAGTACATGTCTGAATTTTCAATACATGTCTAAAAATAGCTTACAACTTTGCTGGTAGCAATGCAAAATAGTACAACCTTGTAGGGGACTTTGGTGATTCATACAAATACCTTAAAAATGTATATACCCTTAAACCCAGAGGAATTTATTCTAGGGTAACAGGATATAAACATAGATTTAGCCACAGAAATGCTGAGTACAGTACTACTTGGAGTGGCAAATAATGATGGCATCATAGATGACCCCCCAAAAAGAAACTGATCACACAAATCTTTAGTTCCAGACAACATAACATCACAGTCAGTAAGATAACATTGTGAAATATAGTAAAGGAAAACACTGATAAATATGGACACATAAAAATATAAAACCTCTGGCCTGAAATGAGAGACAGTGTACAAAACAACTGACCAGTATTCTATAAAGCTTCGTGGTCATAAAAGGTAGAGAAAGACTGAAGAACTGCTTCAAATTAAGAATAAGGAAACTTGACAACTGAAAGCAATATACAATCCTGGATCAGAAAAAAGACATTAGTGGGACAACTGGAAAAAATATGAATAAAATCTATAAATTACAGTACTGTTATCCACATTAATTTCATGAGGTTGATGACTGTGCTATGAGGATATAGGATGTTCTCATTTGGGGAATCTAGGTGAAGGATTATGGAAATTGTATTATTTCTGCAACTTTCTCGTATGTCTGACATTATTTCAAAAAACATTTTTTTACTTCTATACAACCCCCCAAAAAGATCTAAAACATATGAATAAGAGCATACTACATAGCAAATAGATAAAGTGACATGTAAAGATTATACCTTCAATTATTAAAAATCATCTACTGTAGTGATGCACAAAAAAAGTATTTTATCAAGTTTAGCGAAATTTAGTGTTCCAGTACTCAAGATGTGTACCTTATGCAAATTTGACACACTGCATTATTTTAATGTAAATTTCCATATGTTTTAAGATAAATTAGGAGGATGATAATTTCTAAAAATCTTAACTCTGCATGGACTTCTTTTTTCACCTCTCCAAGTCACAACAAATTTCTGCATTTTGGAACTTACACCTTTTATTGTCATAATTAACTTATTTATTAATTCAGTATATATTTGTGGGACCTCTACTCTGAATGTGGCACGGGATACAATGGTTCCTTCCTCAGGAAGTTAATAATTCAGAAAGAATAAAATCAAGTGAAACCAACACTGGTCACCAGGAAGGAGAAAGGCCATGGTGTGGGACACAGGCCATGCTACAGAAGGAAACTTAACTTTCTTGGTCTCATGTTTAGGTTTGTTTCCTGTCTAAGTTAGGTCTTGGACTGTGCGCTTCTGTTTGGCTGCAACTGTGACTCAGATGTCCTGCAAGTTGACTGAAAGAAAATAAGGAGTTGCTTAAGAAGAGCACAGGTGATGGTCTCTCCATTTTCCTTCACATTCTTGTCCCCTCTAAACGCATGGTTTGATTCTTGGGATATACTAAAGCAAGCAAGAAAATGTGGACCCTATTTCTATTTAGGCAAGATCCTAAATCAAATACTTCTGTACGTACTGGCTTTGGAATGATACTGATGTCCTTCTGACAGGCTGCATCAATATTTCTCTGCCAAATGGGTAGTGGACCCAAGAAAGGATGTGGCCTGTGGGAACGGGAGCAGAAGCAGTGCATTGCCACAGCTGCTGGTGGCAGCACAGCAGAGGCGCCTCGGACGCCTTACCTCTCCCTCAGGAGTGTCCGATGGACAGAGCATCCCCCACTGAGATGGCTGCAGGGATCGAGGACCGCTCACTTTTCTTGTTTTTTCAAACTGGGAAGAGATTCTGGTCATCATGCCCAATGCAGATATGTATGACAAGCGAGACAGCACCTGAGTCACACCCTGGCGGTCCATTTTAAATCTCTTTAGAGACCAATTTCCCTGTACAGAAAGGAAAGACGTAAGATGACACTGACCCATTCATATGTTGTCTTATTCTTTGCAGTCACTCTGAGTTCATCATAGGAACTAGTTGTTCATGAAATTAGAGCTATCACGTATATTCAGAAATCAAAATGTCCCAAGTTAAAATTTAGCCAGGGCACTCACTGGGGTTTCATAGGAATTTAATGAATACTACCTACATCTAGCAACCATCTCAGAACGCTTTGATGTATCAACCTTATCAAATCAGAGTAGTTATTTTCTGAAGAACTAATTATATCCTAACAAATCAGTTTGACAAGACATTTCTACTGGAAGCAATAAGCTAACAAACAGGTCACTAGCAATTTCTATACACATTTAAGGTAAAACTTGTTTGAAACTCAAAGAAATAATTTCATGTTGGAATATGCCATTATTTGGACAAAATTAGTCTTAACTGGAGGAACATACAGCAACAGAAAAATGACGGCAGTAACAGTTATCAGGGATAATGAATAAAGCATAGGCTTCTTAATCAAGGCTAAGAATTGCATATATATTCATATTAAAAAATATATATCCTCTGTGGCTATCATGTCAATCTTAAAACATTCAGATGAAATAATCTTGAACATTAAATTTACTTTACCTCCTAATGCATTAACAGTATTTTATATTAAATATATTTTATAGTTGTATTAATTGCACACATTAAATATTCTCAAAGGTAATTTAAAGATTGTTAGGAATTGATAAATTTTCAACTCATGGTACATAAATTAACAGTAGAAAATAGCATACACAGAAACATAAAGTAGAAAATAAAATGCCAAATATATATTTGATTCAATTGATCTTTTTGATTCAAAGAGAAAATATGGCATCTGCTAAAGAGTGGTTCTTCATTTTTCTTCTAAGAATCTGATGAACCCTATGACTGTTCTCTTGAGAAGATGAATGTAGGACCATGAACACAAAATTTTATATTCAGTTTCATGGGGAGGACTCATGATTCCCAGGTTAAAAAACCTTGGAGTAGAAAAAAAGCTAGGGTTTCAGAAAGAGCTAAGGCGACCTGTTTTAATTAAAATATGTGACTTTGGAAAAGCTTCCTCAAATGAAAATTCAAGTACAGTTTAGACCTATCACTTCAGAAACTTGAGTTTTAGATAATATGGAAAAGAGTTAAATTGTGGGAAGAATCCCTATCTATTAGAAAGCAAAGAAATTGAGCAAACACATTTATCTCACATTAACTTTGTATACTGCTCATTCAGTTAACTCCTACTATGCTCTCAATGAGAATGAACCTAGTAAAGTGACTTAGGCCCAGAGAGTAGGAGTAAGGAAGGTAAATAAACACTGGGCACAGAGCTAAAATGAGGCAGCAGCTGATGGCAAATAGGAAGTCAATGGCAAGTGAAGCCAAGATGTTCAACGAGAGAATTTGTTCTAGTATTCTGCAGGAGTGTTACAAAAGGGAGAGGGGAGAAGCAGACAAAGGGTCTAAAACTGCTTCTCTGAGAAAATGTATTTGTTGAAAACATTCTAAAGGCAATACTCAACAGAATTTTAGAAGCTGATCTTTTTCTGGTTGCCTACAGACGGGGATACCTGCAACAAGGTGTTTAGTTTAATTATTAATAGCCACTCCTTTTTTCCCTACTGATTTTTCTAATAAGGATCTTCTCTGAGAAGTAAGAGCAGTGTCCCTTAGGGGCAAAAGAACTACTCCAAACAGCTATCATGACCTGTGAATTATGGGTCAGAAAGCAAGGGCAAAGTAATGTTAACAGAAGCTTATTCAAGTGCTCTTTGGAGGCGTTTCTTCAAATATCCAGGGATCTACTTTCAGACAAGTTTGGGCTACAAGAGTTTAATGTGCCTAAAGAGGCACAAAGCCCCGGTTTGCCTCCAGTTTAGATGTAGCTGTCATTGCAAAGGCTGCTCACACAGACCCAGGGCAAGTTCCTGAAGTCAAGTACTGCAGTGAATCTGCCACTAATTGTTTCATTGTTAAGGGAATCACTATGTTATACTATAGTATTCTTTTGTTAGAGCAAATCTCATCCATAAAAGTAATTTTATGTCTGGCATACAAAACGTGAACCAGACTTCATCAGATAGACCTATAGTTGTTATGCTTTAAGAAAGGGAGCAAAAACCTATCTGATAGCCTTTTATGGACACCTGGAGGCCCTCAGCACACAGCAGCTGCAGAGGCCTGGAGCCTGAATTCATCACTCACATGACGAACAGCTGATAGCCCTCTGAGGCTTATAAACCTACAATGAAATGAAACATTTTGTATTGTTTTGGACAAAAGTTGTCATTAATAAACCTACTTGCAATATGTCAGTTTTACTGCAGAAAAAAAAGAATGGCTATTAATAAACTAAAAGATTTTTCCTCTGTGTAAGAGTATCTATTTTCTTATTGCCTCATATAACAGGAACAATAATTTAGCAGTAAAATTGTATAGTAACATTATTTCTTACTGAGAACATTTAAACTATAGACTACCTTTCAAAGTAGAACATTTACGATTTATAAGCATTTTTTAAAGATATACATATATATATACACATACACATCCATATATATATTTAATCTGGATTCTCAAAGTACATTAAATTTCCATTCCACTGAAGAGATGTATAAGCAAGTTACAAATCCATAGACAAATGATTGAAGACTTACTGTAGAAATGGCATTCACCATGCCATTGGTGATCTGGTCTTGACGCATGTGTTTCACCACATCAAATTGGGCTGCTCTTTGTTTAGGAATCACCTGGTCTGCAATCTTCTTCATTTCAGAATTAAATTTTTTGAATAAATCTTCAAAAAGCAGTGATAAAAGCTAGAAAAAAAAAAGTATATGTTGAACTTCAAAAATGCACTACTAGCCTATTTGATAAATTTTAGACCTTTATTAAACTTGGTTTAAAAGAGAGAAAAAAAAAAGGGTGGGCCTGGCATTTCTGGGAGTGCCGCGTGGAGCTGGTGGGCTGGGAAGCTTTTGGCATGGTGGTCTTTGCTGGCCCAGCCAAGCCATTCCTGACCTTGAACCCGCAGGAGGACGCCAAGTTTCAGAAGGAGGTGGCACACATTTGCCGACACGAGACCCAGCAACAAAAGAAAGAAAAATTTACTCCTGGAGTAGTCAATGTGAGCCACGTACCTCCGGCACTTTGTGAAACCCAGATCCAAGCCCATTTCTCCCAGTTCAGCACTATTACAAGATTCAGACTGTCCAGAGGTAAAAAGACTGGAAATAGCAGAGGCTATGACTTCGTAGAGTTTGAATCTGGAGATGTTGCCAAAATAGTTGCTGAAACAATGTACAACTACCTTTTGGTGAAAGACTTTTAAGTGTCATTTTATACCACCTGAAAAAGTACACAAAGAACTTTATGGAGAGTGGCATATTCACATGAAAAGGTGTCATATCCAGCAGTGGAATGGCATGATCAGAATCAGACACTTCCTCAAAAGCTACAGATGGAAGAGCAAATTAAAGAGTGAAAAATTGCTGAGCAAGAAACAAGCTAAAAAAAGAATTGACTTTAATTTTCCTTCGTTGACTTTACATAAAAAGGGAAAAAGAAATGCTTCAAACACCGATCTCTGGAAATCTACATACAACCAGGTTTTACCTAAGGAGAAGAAAAAAGAACTTTCAGACAATCCAAAAAGGCCTGAGGAAGACTGTGGATAGCCAAGGCCCACACCAGTTTGTACACCGACATTTTTGGAGAAACAAAATCTGAAGCAGCTGAAGTGGATGCTGATGATAAAGGTAATAAAACAGTTTTCAAATAGCCCATATCTGGTGTAAAAGAAGAAATACTCAGAGAGTCTCAGACACCTACACTTTCAAGGAGAAAAGGACGAAGAGAAAAGCAATCAGTGATTCTGCATGAATCATTGTGGGGAAGTTGGGGTTCCTATGGCCAGGATCCTCACTGAACTTAAACCACCTGATGATGTAACTGGCCTGTTGCTGGGCTGCCGCTTCCACAGCTGTTACTGCGCTATATAGAGAGCTCGGCCCAGTGCTCTGGGCGGAGGCAGAGATGCTAGTACTCGACCTACCGCCCGAGAACAAGCCAGGTAATAAATCCTTTCACCCCAAGCACGTTTTGCTGTCGATTCCTTTGGTGACACTGAATCCATAGCGAACTTGCCTGGGGCTGAAACCCATTGGCAAGACAATCATGTACAGTAATTCTTCTGAAAAAATGTAATTTTTTTGATATTTAACTAGCTTGCAGTAGCCAGGCACATGATGCCTCTTTTTTCTAATTTTCTCTAGTTTTCATAGCTGTCTTCAGTGACTCTGTGTGAATAGAGGAGTCACCAGTAACTGCAGGTTTAAGTACTACACTGCAGCTTTTGTTGTTACTATCAAAAAAAGAAAGAAAATCTTAACTTACCATCTACATGGGTTTCCGTCAGGCTGTGCACATTTAACCCACAGAGTACTTTAGACTTCAACATCATATGGTTGACACTGGAGATTACGTTACGTGGAGAGTTAGAAGGCGGTTCGAGTATGTGTGTATGACCAATGTTACATTAGCTTTTGGTGGGCTAGCACAGATTAATAACGATCATTTTGTGTCAGTATCACTGATGTGGAATTGTATTTCAAGCATCAGTGACCAGCAAATAAACTTTTTCTATGATTAAAAAAAAAAGGATGGAGAGACTGCTTAAGACTGAATAAACAATCTGAATTCCATTTGATAAATATCTACTTTTCTATGTGCTTATCATCATGCTTAGATGCTGGGAAGAAGAGCAAAGATGATGACAAATTCCTGCCTTCGAAGACATTTAACTCAAGACTAGTCACTCCCAGACTTTCTTAATGTCACTGCCCTGTGACTTAATTTTTAATTTTACAAATAAAGATTATTAAAACCCCAAGGAAGAGGTCAGGGAGAAGAATCACCATTAAAAACTCTGACAACACCAAAGATGTGGCATCCTTTGGAGCTTTCCTTATCGGTGATATAAGTATAAGCTGGTACAACCCCTTGTAAACAGTTTGCCATTATCTACCCTTCCCCATGGCCCAGCAGTCCCCTTCTAGGTACGTCCCCCACAGCAATGCACAAATTGCTGGCTCCACCCCTACAGTTTCTGATTCAATAGGCCTAGGGCTGAGCCCAAGAATTTGCATTTCTAGAGCTGCTGCGGGAGAAGAGCACCTTGAGAATCACTGTCCTGCAGAAATGTGCCTGTACATGCATCAATCAGTACACGTATACCGGATGTTCATAGCAGCATTTGTGTCAGCTCAAAACTGGAAACTGTACAAATAATATTTAGTTAGGCAAACTAGCATACTTAATGGAACACTATAAACCAATGAAAACGAGCAAAAAAGAACCAACCGCAGAATCATGGCTGCATCTTAGAAACACAATATTGAGTGAAAGAAGCCTGATACAAAAGAATATATACAGTATGACTCCACCTACATAAGGTTCAAAACCGGCATAATTGAACTACATTGTTTAGGAAAGCATAATTCAGTGGCAAAATTCTGAGGAAAGGCAAGTGATGCCATAAAAATTAGGTTAGGGTTTACATCTTGGAAGGGAACAATTATGATCACATAGGGGCATGTTTGGGAGAACTAAGGATTTCTTGGCCTGAGTGACATTTGCAAAGGTAATTGTTTTACAACAATCTAAGCTGAAATTTATATTTTATGCACTTTCTGTTTTTCAGTGAAAGGTTATAAAATAAAATAATACCCATTAATTACCCTGACATCATCCCATTTTCAAAAGGACACTTTAACATCAATTGAGGGCAAAGCAAATAATCCCAGAAGAAAAACAACAAAAAAAGTAAATACAGTTTGCTTGATGAGAATTCACTCCATCCATCCTTACTCATTACTCTCCAGATTAGTGAAAAACTGGACCACCAACTCACACCAATCCTCAGACCAGTGCCTGGGCACCACAAACCTAAATAGCAGAAAATGCTGTAAAGGCTATAGAGATCAAAATAAAGTTTGAAACAACAGTTCAGCTAGAAAAAAAAAAATTAAAGTGTTTAAGCTCCCACACAAACATTATTGGGAAACAGGATTCGTCAATGATTTCATGGGATGGATGAAGAGCACAGGAGGAAGGAAGGTAAGGACTTGGGAAGGGAGCAGAGGCCTTAAGAAAAAGCTTCCACTGAGGACCTACAAAGCCATAAGACGACACCCCTTGTACTCTCATAATAAAGAAAAGATGAACTATCTATAAAATCATATATTTCTGGCATCTAACAAAGGTTGCAGGCAACCAGGCAAGCTAAATTACAAATGGTGACAAGCCTAAGGAGAGAGACACATGACAGATGATGTCTGCCACAAAAGAAGAAATCAACTAAAGTTCTAAGGGCTTCGGAAGTGCCAAACGTGGGTCACCATGAAAGCTTAGAATCTTTCAGAGGCTCAGACACAAGAGGCTCTGCACTCACAAGTTCTTTCTGTAGAATGCTCATGAACTCAAAGTAAAAAGACCTGAAAGAGACTCTTCAGGGGAACAAAACCCTGTCTACTTCCATGAACGTTCTCTCACACAAAGCAAAAATCTTCAAGTTGCTGGAGAAGGCTCAGGAGCCCTCCTGCTGACGGCCCAGGCCAAGGTAACCTGCCCTGAGAAAGGCGTGGAGGCAAAGGCTGTCTGTCCCCGAGGGTGGAAGAGGAAACCCCCTGATCTCACCATAAGCCTTGCATCTAGTAACCTGCAACAGCAGCCTACAGCAGGACAGCCAGCAAACCCTCCGGCCACTGACTCCAGGAAAGGTACAAGGCCAGAAGGAAGAGCAAGAGAAAACCAAAATCACCTTTCCCTGGTGAGCAGCAGCAACGAGCTTGGGTCAAGGATCCTGCACTGATACTGAGCAGGGGCCAGATACCACAGGGAAGGGCAGGAAAACGAAAGCTTTCCTTTATGAAACAGGCCAAGGAGCAGATACCCGTTCTCACCAGTCCTATTCAACATTGTACTGGGGGCATATTCAGGGCAATAGGACAAGAAAAAGAAAAACTAAAAATGCTGGAAAGGAAGAAATAAAACTGTCACTACTTGCAGATAACATTTGTCCACATAGAAAATCCCAAAGAATCTAAAAAACCCTACTAGAATCAATAATTGAATTTAGTAAGCTTGCAAAGATACAAGATCAGTATGTAAAAAGCAATTGTATTTAAAACATTACTGAGAGAAATTAAGGAGAATCTCAATAGGAGAGGGATACCATGTTCACTGATCAGAAGACTCAGTATTATTTAGATGTCAGTTCTCCCCAAATTCATCTATTAATGCAATGTAATCTCAATCAAACACTACTGGCTTTTTTCTTTAATGGAGACGGTAATTCTAAAATTTAAGTGATAATGCTAAAACTCCTAAATTTATCACGATAGGAAAAAACCTTCACTCTCCAACAATACGTCAGCTGGACATATTCTTCCTGATAGGACACAACAGACACTGCACAACATTGCCCGTGAAGTGTTCCAGCCAAAGTAGACACTTCAATAGGGTCTAGCCTCTGAATTTAATTCCTGGCTTACAAGAAATTTAGAGGAGTACACAGGAATACATATATATAAAGATACCAGCAGGATGCCATTGGTAAAACCCATTAATATGAGAAACTCTTTAGGACAAAAGGCCCAGTTTTTTTTAAGAAAACACACACACACACACACACACACACACACACGATCTATACAGACCAAAGGAGTTCAAGAGACCTATCAACTGAATGCAGTATATGAGACATGTATGGATCCTGTGAACAATACTACTATAAGCAACAACAATATTTATAAGGAAA